AAGCTCCGTCAAGCCGAAGAGGATGAGAAGGAGGCTGAGCTTCGCCGCACGGAGCAAGTCGATGACTCCAAGATGGTGTGTTCACTGTTGCCAGCTGTAGTTACAGTCAACTGTGCGTATAACGACACTCAGCGGGGCATCAGAAAAGTGTCCTTATTCGCAAAGTGTCGGTATACCCGAAGTCTCATTATATGTATTGCAGGTGGATGGGACTTTGCTCTGGGCATGGAAATTCTGTCCGTTATTCGCGAATTGTCGTTATATCCGCAGTCGTTATTAGCCAAGTTGACTGTACCTCACTTCTGCAATTCTATGGACTTTTGTGTCTTTATGGGAACACGTACATGCATGCTTGGTCCAATGCCTTTTTCTAGAAGCCACTTCAGCATATTGTTGATCTTGGAGGTATGTCTCTTTGTTTTGTATTTTGACAGGTGGAGGAGATCTTTGACTTCATTGATGAACAGGAGAAGGAAGTCGGTGCAGCTCCGGATGCGTTTGCTGTAAGTATGACTTCGTATTATGTAGTTTTGCCCTTCATCCTCTCTACTTAGGCTGTTCAACAGTATGCATGCAGGCAGGCACACACTGCATGACATCTTGCAAGCAGTTTATCACATATCAAGACCTGCTATTGAGCCCAAAGATATCACTTTCGCAAACGTGACTGTGTTGCTAATTTCACTGCAGGACTTGGAAGCCAAACGTGTTGAGTCCCTGGAAGAAGAAATGGATGAAGTCGAGCAGGAAGACAAGGTATGATTCAGTACTGCTGTCACTGCAGTCTCCACTTCTTTGTACTGGTGTATGCTCTTTGAATATTTACCTTACATGTACTTTCATCAGATGTACTGTAGCCATCCTGCTGTCACACTTAAGAAACATGCTTGAGCTTGGCTCACAATCATAATGGTGCATGTATGTAATATGAGCCGTACAATACCCGATAGGTTATTGTTCAGTTTCACTAACTGACTGTCATATTTCCACTGAGACTTTCAGCTGAAGAGTACTAAAGGCCACAACCACATCAGCACACATTTTCGCTGATCATTCTTGCATGTTGCTGCTGCTGTTGTTACTGCTGTTGCTGTTACTGCTGCTGCTGCTGTTACTGCTGTTCCTGCTGCTGTTGTTACTGCTGTTGCTGCTGCTGTCGTTGCTGCTGTCGCTGCTGTTGCTGTGGCTGTTGCTGCTGCCGTTGCTGTCACTGCTGTTGCTGTTGCTGTTGCCATTCCTGTTACTGCTGCTGCTGCTGCTGCTGTTGCTGCTGCTGCTGTTGCTGTTGTTGTTGTTGCTGTTGTTGTTGTTGTTGTTGTTGTTGTTGTTGTTGTTGTTGTTGTTGTTGTTGTTGTTGTTGTTGTTGTTGTTGTTGTTGTTGTTGTTGTTGTTGTTGTTGTTGTTGTTGTTGTTGTTGTTGTTGTTGTTGTTGTTGTTGTTGTTGATGTTGATGTTGTTGATGTTGTTGATGTTGTTGATGTTGTTGATGTTGTTGATGTTGTTGATGTTGTTGATGTTGTTGTTGATGTTGTTGTTGTTGTTGTTGTTGTTGTTGTTTTGAATTTTGAATTTTGAATTTTTGAATTCTTCATTGTTGTTGTTGTTATTATTTAGGCGGAAGAAGAAGAGGAAGACCTTTCGGATTACAAGTTTGGAAAGTTTGTAGCCACATACTTTCAGGGTCAAGTGACTCCGTCTCACATTCGTCGACCCATCAAGCAACCTCTTCTTGGTGGTTTATCTGACCTAGAAGTCAGGGTAAGTAGAATTGAATACTTCATACATGGCATGGCCTGTGTCAGCATGTTCGGCCTTCTTAGTGTGTGCGTTCGATTATGCCCGCGAATCGATGTTGAATCCATTCATGAATCACCCCTGGCTATTCACGTCACCCCATGTGGATAGGGTGAATGGATTCCGAACCGATTCCAGGGCTCATGACGTGAAACCGAACGACGAGATTCCATTCATGAATCGATTCATGGCAGTAGTCGAACGCACCCAGTGTGTTCCTCATCTTTCCTTGTCGAAGAGATCGCTACGATTCCTTGGAGCAAAGAAGACAACTTTCTGCTGGTACAATACGTTGTAAGGCCACTGAGCAGCCTATTGTTACACTATTACACCACCATTGGATTTTGGTTTGTGTAAAAGCTGCGGGGGTGTTTCCTGGTACTGTGCCATTGTGCCTGGTAGTCAATCTCTGTTGGCTGTGCTCTGCAGGCTGCACTGGCAATCTGGGTGTGCATACTCCGGTTCATGGGTGATCTACCCGAGCCACGGAAACGTGAGCCGGAGGAGGAAGTGCCGAAGGAAAAGAGCTTACGGCAGCGGCCACTCATTCAGGCCCAGTCGCTAGGAGGTGGAGAAAAAGAAAAGGTAGGGTGCTATAATTGCCGTTTCACCTTGATGGTTACCATATCTGTCATTGAAGTGATCTTTAAACAGACGGCGAGGAGACAATAGCTGCAATCGATAGGACAAGCTGAGTCAACACATGTGTATACTCGTACCTCGTTCATGCAGTGTCAAACGGTGGAAACACTGGTGGAAACGTTTTTGGAAGACCTTGTGATCAGTCATCTCCATGCCTGCATTACACCAGTGTGTAGAGTGCAAAGCATTTTCTTCCTCTGAACAACGAGCTCTCCACATATAGCTTCTACACTATGTGTACTGTATTACGTATTGTGGCATTTGTGCTCTTCAGTAAACTGAATGTATTGTGGAGGTGGTGGCCGACTGTTCACGTAAACTTTCCTCGTACAATTGCTTCATGCTGGTGCCTAGGGAGCTGAAGGACTTGTGAAGAATGTGAAGAACCTCAAGAACTCACTCGGTCGTAAGCTGGGAAAGAAAGCAGCAGCCCAGGTAGCAGCTGCTGCATCAGCGGAAGCAGCGGGTGGCGAGGACGAGGGAGAGCCAGACATAGAGATCGACGACAAGCAGTGGCAAAAACTCCAACAACAACTCGAGGTACATGTCAGGAACTGTCATGTAAACACCATATAACTCTCCGCTGTGCTAAAATCATCACTTCATCTGTATGGATAGGTAGTCCGTGCGGAAGTGTTTGTGGAGTGTGTGAAGTAGAGCCTAACAGGTTCATGGTGCAAATAGAGAACCACGCCGTGACCAGAGCCGTTGCCCAAGTTATGATGAAAGGTTTATTTGTTGATCAAGTTTGTCCGCCCGGGCTTGTTGAAACGCACACATGTCCTTCTACTAACCAAAAACACATCACCACGACATAATGCGCTGTGGTTATTTATGTCAATGCATAGCTTTCCCCTTCCCAAGGTCCCCCCCCCCCCCCCTTCCGAACTGGGGGTTTCACTGGCCAGTTCTGTACATAGCTTGATGCAAAAGGGCAAGTAAAGATACCATTTTCCTAACCAATTTGTCTGTCTTTCTTTTGGCTTGCAGCAAGAGGGTCTGAGTGCGAAGGAAAAGAAGAAGATCAAGAAGAAGATGATCTCCATGACGTTGCGCCGCAAGTCCAAAATATCCAGGGTAAGCTTGAGTGCTAGCGTGTGCTGGTAGAGCCTTTTGGATAGCATTGTATAGTGCACGGAGCTCAGTGTTCATCACTATATCAAAATATACATATACTCACAATGTTATAATGCGCCTTCCTGCCACTCTTCTTACTTTAGGACATTGCTGGGTCTTGGGATGATGAAGATAAGGAGAATGTGGAGGCAGACGCTCAGCAAGCCGCAGCGGCAAAGAACGACCCAACAGCTGGTATTCCACTGCTGCAGCAGGCCACGTCCAACCTCGAGAAGCTACACTTCATCATTGGTCATGGTATATTGCGCTCCGAACTTAGGTATGTGTGCCCAGGATATTGAATATTTTTACTTTCAAAGCAGTACAGGTCCATTTTTAGCAACCCCCTCCTCATGATGTCCTACATCTGAAATATTAGGATGAGGTAGATGCCTATGCAATCCCATGTGTGGTCCTCTGGACTCCACAAGCTTGACATCGAGGCCAAGCACACGTTATGTTGAATGTGAACAAGGAACCAATTCCTGGCACCTCTGGAGCACAAACTTTGCTCCCAAGGTGCAATGAATGTGGCATCTTTTGAGATATTGGAATTTCATTTTGGTCACGTTGGTGCAGAGATAGCGAGTGTTTTTTAAAGTGTAGCTGAGAACCCTGTCCGCAACCATCTTTCTGTTGGGAAGGGCCAGTAGCATCTCTGTACAAACAGCGCATTACCGAGGGGATCGGGCATGCCCCTGTCACTACGGCATTGGAGATTGTTTTGCCAATGGAATGGTTGTTGTCTTTAAAACTGTTTCAAAGGGGGGGGGTGGACACCACGCTAAGGTTCGCCTCCATTAGCTTACCATACCACCCAAGAATACCTTCCAACACCCTCATTAGTGTGTGCTAAGTGTACGCAGCACCTGCTTCATTCACTGTACTATTATGACTTGCCTGATCAGTTTCCCTTCAACGTGTTTTCTGTATCCGCTTCTGATCGTCTCGACACAGGGATGAGATCTACTGTCAGATCTGCAAGCAGCTGACGCAGAATCCGTCCAACGCTTCGTTTGCCAGAGGCTGGATTTTACTATCACTCTGCGTCGGTTGCTTCGCTCCCAGCGAGAAGGTATGTGCATGGACACAAATTCTGGCCTAGAACCCAAACAAATATCCGCTATTCAATGCCAGTACTCTCTTGCACAGAAAGGTGTTTTACGCGTTGCAAGCCTCTCACCATGGTAGTACGTGTGCAACCGTCCATTATACGAGTAAAGTCAATTATGTTTTCATTCAATGTCTACACACTTTCACCTGTTTGTGTTCTTTTGTGTTGCTTTCTATGTGTTCTAGTTTGCCAAGTATCTACAGCTGTTCATCAAGGAAGGTCCACCTGGATACAGTGCATACTGCCTGGAGCGGTTGAAGAGAACCATTGCCAATGGAACACGCTTGCAACCTCCAAGCTGGCTTGAACTCCAGGTGAGTGTGTGTGTGTGTGTGTGTGAGTGTGTGTGTATGTGTGTGTGTGTGTGTGTGTGTGTGTGTGTGTGTGTGTGTGTGTGTGTGTGTGTGTGTGTGTGTGTGTGTGTGTGTGTGTAAAGTAGGTAGATGCTGTGTCCGCGCGGTTATTCTCTTGCAGGAAATTGCGCTATAGACCATTGGCCCAGCTGAATGCTTAAATGTGTTTCCTGCTGTTAATAAATACATCTGGCTGCTTATCCTTTCCCCATGACATGAGGTGCATCTGTAATCTTATGAGCACTGCCCATCAGTACCAGGGTTTGACATAATTCTGTTGCAATGTGTGCACCCACCGTGCAGGCAACACGCATGAAGAAGTCGCTCACACTGCCCATCACCTTCATGGACGGCACTACGAAATCCCTACATGCTGACTCTGCGACAACAGCAAGAGAGCTCAGCTCACAGCTGACGGAGCGCATCAGCCTGAAGGAATCTTTCGGCTTCTCACTCTACATTGCTTTGTTCGACAAGGTTAGTGTGTTGCTAAGCTCAGGGTCTGGACTAGTATCATTCATCCATTCATTATCAGCTAATTGATTGCATTGGCAGATGTCTATGAATACACTGGTCTGCTGTTGGTGTGTTGGATATGTAGACCATTTGACCCGTGTTGGTTGGCCACATGCGTTACACATCACAGATTTACTGAGCGATTGTTACTTGGACTTTACCTATTCCAGCTACCCAATCCCTGCACGATGCGTGATTGCAACGGGCTTGTCAAGGAATGCTCTTTGGTATAGGCTTTCGTGTTCAATACACTTATTGTCTTACGTTCATGTATCGTGTGTATGTAGGTGAGCAGTTTAGGCAGTGGGGGTGATCACATCATGGATGCCATCTCGCAGTGTGAGCAGTATGCCAAGGAACAAGGTATATGATCACATGTGTATGTTTACAATTTCCTGGCTATGCATGTCTGCCTTTTCCTATCAGATGTGACATTGACTTTTTTTAAAATTAGATTGTTGTGTAGCACTTTGTGCTGCACCGTTTTGGAATGCTCGAAGTTTATTTAAGCCGGTTGCTTGAGGCAGGTAACAGTACGTAGTTGAGCTGAAATGCGTACTGGGGGGGGGGGGGGGGGGGGGGCTGGGCTGTGTAACATCCTTTTCTCAAATAGTAATGCCCAGTGTGTTGTTGTGGCTTTGTTCCAACTCATCTCTTTTAGGTGCACAAGAGAGGAGTGCGCCATGGCGACTGTTCTTCCGTAAGGAAATCTTCACACCATGGCACGACCCTCGTATCGATCCCGTTGGAACAGATCTCATCTACGAGCAGGTCATCCGCGGTATCAAGTTTGGAGAGTACCGATGCGATAGGGTGAGTCACCTTTCCCTGTTGACTCATTCTCAATCTCCCAATGAAGCTTTAACCCAAATCCACCGTGAATTGTACTTGAATATAATCGATCAGGTGCACATTTCGTTTGCATTTGAGTGTTAATGTTACTCTCAGCAAGGAGCAGCTGGTTGATGGATAGTATACTGTGACAGTATGCTTGTGTCTTTACTAGAGGCTAGGGGGTTTCCAATAGACATGCTCTGTTTGTATGTGAAAAGAATTCGGGTGGACACACCCATTCACATAGCGCTGCATATCACATCTGAACCAGTTCCGTTATTTTACAACGTTTCGGCACTTGGCCATCGTCAGGTAATAACAATGAATACCGTGGAAGCCACACAAGAGCAGTATATACGCAGAGTGTAGCGCCAAAAAAGATGCGAATTATGTCACCTAGTATGACACAGAGAGAGAAAAGGCGCAACTAGCACATCACGGAGGAGAAGCAGCAGAAGGTAGCGCGCATTGTGCTCTGTGAATGGCGTTACGCAGCGTGTAGCGCCAAAAAATAAAATGATGCGAGTTATGTCACCTCTATACAGAGGGGGGGGGGAGAGAAGGTGCAACTGTGCACATCACGGAGAAGAAGAGCGCGCCGTTGTGCTCTACGAAGTGAGGGCACATGCCAAATAATTATGGTGTTAATTCTAGCACAGGATCTAGGAGGGGAGCACGGAGCCCCATGAGTCAATGCACTATGTGGTTAAAACTTCCATGCCAAGCTGTTACCACCAGGGACGCGACGAGGCATCAGGAATAGAATGGTTTTGAGTGACCCGCCTCATATTATAATTATTCAGTGATATTGAAGTAGCAGCAGGGGAAGCTGAGAAAATTCACAACAAATCCCATCCGGTGCTTATGTTCACATGGGGCTTGGCATCACGAATCTCAATCGCCTCGCGCAGTTTGCGACGGGCTCGATCAGGCTCTCTTCCTATTACTTCAACTGCAGAGAATGCACTTTGCCCATAGTTAAGCTTACATCCAGGGTGAGTGGTGCGAAAATGTTGGCCCCATGGCTTGTCGAGTTCCTGGCGTCTTGCCTCACCATTATGTTCTTCCAGGCGAGTTTCCAGAAAGCGGCCAGTCTCACCAACATATTGTTCCGGACATTCTTTGCACTTCAGCTGATATACAACATTCTTCTGCATACATACATCCTGTCCCCCGGATATACACGAGATACACGGCCCCTTTGGGCGACCTCTCTTTTTCGGTTGTAGCGGATTTGCAGCCTTGACACATAGAGGAGGAACGAGGGCGGAGCGACACAATGTGCGCCTCAGGCTACCAGTGTGCTCATATACGACTCTAACCGGAATTTTATACTTTCTGATTGCTTTATTCACTGCTTGATGTACTTTATCTGACTTATATGGAAGCTTTAGAAATGCGCAGCATGGGTTGGCATGGCGACGACGCTTTGGCCTTATGGAGGCAGTGCGTGCCTCTTCAATGATTTTCTCTGGGTAATTGTTCAATTTTAATTGCTCATGAACCATCGCTTCACTTTCTGCACGCATTCTGGTATTCGATGAGAGCCTCTGAGCTCTTAGGAATTGTGACGAAGCAACTGCCAATTTGATATGGTGGGGAACTGCCGAAGTATAATCAATGAGTAGACCACTAGCACATGCCTTCTGGTACAGCTTGTATGCCAGCTTGCCTTCCTGGATCATAATTGTGATATCCATATAATTTATGGAGCCACTCACCTCGCTGAGCTCATATGTGAAGTTGATACTTGGGTGTGCAGAGTTGAAATGCTGCACAAACCGCATCAAGCTCTCTCTGCCGTTGGTCCATAGCAGCAGGATATCGTCGATGTAGCGTTTGTAGAGGAGCGGTACTAACGGAGAATCCTGCAGAAGCCTGGCCTCAACCCCCCTCTGTATAGAGGTGACATAACTCGCATCATTTTATTTTTTGGCGCTACACGCTGCGTAACGCCATTCACAGAGCACAATGCGCGCTACCTTCTGCTGCTTCTCCTCCGTGATGTGCTAGTTGCGCCTTTTCTCTCTCTGTGTCATACTAGGTGACATAATTCGCATCTTTTTTGGCGCTACACTCTGCGTATATACTGCTCTTGTGTGGCTTCCACGGTATTCATTGTTATTACCTGACGATGGCCAAGTGCCGAAACGTTGTAAAATAACGGAACTGGTTCAGATGTGATATGCAGCGCTATGGGAATGGGTGTGTCCACCCGAATTCTTTTCACAGATGAACGCGCGGCTGCAGGAAGCCTCAGCCCTTCTTCAAACTGTTTGTATGTGTCACTCCATTTCTTTGTATGTTAGAATGACGAGCTAGCCGAGGTGTGTGCACAGCAGTACTATGTCAACCACGGTACAAGCGTTAGCAGTGAGTTGGTACGCAACATCGTACCCAACTGTCTACCCGACTCGTGTCTACACGGTGGAGGTGCCACCCTGGACCGCTGGATGGCACTGGTCTTGCAGTGTCTGAAGAAGGTAGGCGTTGTGGCGCAGCTTTACATTGTTACATTATTTGTGCATGCACACAGATTCAGATTGTTGTTCTTTCCTGCACATGCGTATTCTAGCGTGAATTGTTCTAGTGAATGACAGGGGAACCAAACACTTCTGGTACATGTGTGTAAGCCTTTATCATATCCTATACATGTACGTAGCTTCCTGTTGTATTCTAGCCTCTCTCCTGACCTAAGTATCCACTATCGGCAGGAGTGTTATTTTCTAAATACACAACATGCGGAAAACTGTTTCGTCCTTCGTGGACTCATCAGGCTTTTTTCTATATTCATGGCTTTGACTGTGAGGGCTCATGATACCACCGGCATGTTGCTTTGGTGGATGTCCTGTCATGTGCCAGTGACATTTTATTTAAATGATGCCATATACTTTTTCTACTTGGAAACATTTCGGTAGTTGCAATTTAACGGAGGGGTGTCACTTCATTGCTCCTATGGGATTTGCCTTTCTTCTCTGCCCTGTAGGCTTACTATGTCAAGCAGCAAGTTGAGCCAGCCACCGTGAAGGAAGACTTAGTCATGTTTGCAAAGCTGAAGTGGCCATTGCTCTTCTCAAGGTATTGACTGTTGTCAAGAGTAGACTCTTCTTTTAAGATGGCTTCTGGTATTCTGAAGAAGACAGTGCAGGGTTTGGTGGAATTGCAGTTGTTTAGCACGAGCTTCCACTTGTATTGTTTGGTCTGGATGTCTCCTGACTGAAATATCTGCATGTGTTATATCTTGTATACATGTAGGTTCTATGAGGCATTCAAGTTCTCTGGTCCAGAGTTGCCGCAGAACGATGTGGTCATTGCCGTCAACTGGACTGGCGTGTACATTGTGGATAGCCAGGAACATGTCCTGGCTGAATTCTCCTTCCCCGAGATCAGCTCCGTGTCCAGCTCGAAGTAAGTGTGCACACACACTTCCATTGACCATGTTAGTGTTGTTTTATGATGTGCATTGGCAGTAATGCCAGTACATGTATGTTGTTTTGCTGGAGTACAAATCTAATACTGGTTTATGCCTGCGTGTAAGAATATGGTATCTTTCGACACACAGTACCTGTGGCAATGCTGTACTGTAGTACGGGATGCCATAATATCCTATTGTGGCACCAAGGCTTGGTCGATAGTTCATCTGTTCGTCTTCATGGCGAAAGCATTCTGTAGCTTGTATCGTTGTATGTATGTAGCGCTTGTTTGTGCCTCTTCTTGTCACTCTGGTTGCATGGTGATGTTGACAATTACTGGACTGATGTATGAGCCTAACAACAATTCCGAGATTGCAAGAGCAGGTTGTTTTCCCATTTTCCGTGTTCACTTCATGCAGGATCGGCAAGGCCAACCACCACAGCTTTACACTGTGCACAGTGCGTGGCGACGAATACACGTTTACGTCCGCCAGCAGCGAGGATATCTGTGAGCTAGTGCTGCACTTCCTGGATGGCCTTCGTCAGAGGTCTCGCTACGTTGTCGCCATGCTTAGCTACTCCAGTCCCGGTAAGGCAGCTACATGTTGAGACAGCTACATGCTACAGGGAGGTGTGTGTAGGCGTGCTACTGGACACAAACGTGTTTTGGAGGTGTGGTGCTGTTCAGCATGGGAACTCCAGCAGTTGTTAGCGCTAGCGTAGCGTGTAATGTTTGGTGTAGCAGCATCACCTATAACGAGACACATCACCTATAGCCAGACACATCACCTATAGCCAGGCATATCACCTATAGCCAGACACACCACCTATAACCAGACACACCACCTATAACCAGACACATCACCTATAGCCAGGCATATCACCTATAGCCAGGCACATCACCTATAGCCAGACACACCACCTATAACCAGACACATCACCTATAGCCAGACACACCACCTATAACCAGACACATCACCTATAGCCAGGCACATCACCTATAACCAGACATATCACCTATAACCAGACACATCGCCTATAACCAGGCACATCGCCTATAGCCAGACACATCACCTATAGCCAGACACATCACCTATAGCCAGGCATATCACCTATAGCCAGGCATATCACCTATAGCCAGTCACACCACCTATAGCCAGACACACCACCTATAGCCAGGCATATCACCTACACAGACACCAGCTGAAGTGACAATGTCATACTGTGTAGTAGTGTTGTCAACAAGCTTCAGTTTGTAATGACTTCATTCTGGTTGCAGAGAGTCATGCATTTACAGCTCGTCCAGCTTGGCTGGCGAAACATGAATAACTCATTAGAAAGAGTATGGAATGAGTCGCAATGCTCGACCTTGCTGTTAGTTACACTGATCTTTGTTGTTAGCCACTGCTGCTGTGCTTCAGTGGCTGGAAGGCAATGCTGCTGTGCTTCAGTGGCTGGAAGGCAATGCTGCTGTGCTTCAGTGGCTAGAAGGCAATGGTGCTGTGCTTCAGTGGTTGTTAGCTACTGCTGCTGTGCTTTAGTGGCTGGAAGGCAATGGTGCTGTGCAAAGTACAGTAGCAACTGCCCGAATAGAGGTCCACGTTCCCATATCTATCAACTTTGCAACACCTGCCTACTTCTCTTTCACTGGAAGATCACAATTGTTACCATACTGTACATGTTCCTACAGGCGGTGAACAATCAACATTCCTCAGTTTCCAGCGTGGTGATCTGATCGTACTGGAAGGAGACGATGACGGCGAAACGGTGATGACGTCAGGCTGGTGCAGTGGCTTATGCCTGCGCACAGGAGAGCGCGGCGACTTCCCATCCGAGTGTGTTTACATTATTCCCACGCTGAGAAAGCCTGGACCTGATGTCATGGTATGTATACAACAAACTCTAGTAGGTTTCTCAGAGAGACGAAATGCTATCGAACGGTGAACCCTGTCTAAGCCGACCGCTCAGGAGACCTCTGAAATGTTGTCCCCATCTGTGTGCATGCATGTGTGTGTGTGTGTGTGTGTGTGTGTGTGTGTGTGTGTGTGTGTGTGTGTGTGTGTGTGTGTGTGTGTGTGTGTGTGTGTGTGTATGTGTGCATGCACATGTGTATATGTGTGCGTGTGTACGTGTGTGTGCATGTGTGTGTGTGTGTGTGTGTGTGTGTGTGTGTGTGTGTGTGTGTGTGTGTGTGTGTGTGTGTGTGTGTGTGTGTGTGTGTGTGTGTGCGCGCGCATGTCTGTCTGTGTCGGTGTGTGTCGGTGTGTGTGTGTGTGTGTGTGTGTGTGTGTGTGTATGTGTGTCTGTGTGTGTCTGTGTGTTTCTGCTGCTTGGACTGTTGCACTCTAGTTTAAAATCCCTGATTGCCATGTTATGTGCCTTACATGCTATGATTACTGATGGGTGGCCAGGCTTTCGTTCCCGCACTAAACTGACTAATTTTGACTTCGCTTTTTCCAGGCCCTGTTCTCAGAACAGAGTGTAGAGTCGCAGGAGAGATTGATTGCAACTACTCAAGCAGCAGTGGAAGAGGAAGTAGAGACGACCGACCAGAACTACACACTGGAGCAGTACAGCTACGAACACTTCAGCACGCCGCCGAAGAGGACACTCAGCAAGGCACTCGCCAAGCAGTCCAGCAAAAGAAAGGACTCCAACTTGCCCTGGGCATTCACACGGGTAAGCCTCATGTCCACGCATTGATGTGCCTGTTGGCCTGGATCTCAGTTTCAAATCCTGAAGGTTGGGCTTTCGACATTAGTCACTCTGCACCCGCTTGACAAGTTTGATCTTCTCATTGTAATGTGCGTGCATGGGGATAACTGACAATCTTTGTTCCGGGCGTGGCTGAATAAAATTCCCCATCAGAATCATCTGCAGTCCCCGAACCATACTGTTCTTGTGCTTTTGCTTTTGGTCGTACAGGAGCCCATCAAGCAAGGGTTGCTAAACAAAGTTGTGGCTGTGTCAGAAGTGAACAAGAAGGCAGTATCATCATTCGTTGGTAAGGACTGTCTTGATGAATTTTCTGCAGTTTTTATACGTATTGAGAGCAACCACACATTCCTGGACATTTCTATACCGAAACCTGGCTGAAACCTGGCCAAATAGTGAATTTTGCTTTTTCATTCTGACGGTTGCTCCAATATTTTATGATAAATCCTAATCGGAGTTGAATGAGATTGTGGGAAATACCGATTTTTGCGAAAACCTAGTAAAGTCCTGAACTTGTTTCGATGACTATCTGTCGGTCTGTATGACCACTTACTGTTCTTAGGCATTGCACGTGTGCATGTGTTGAGTGTGAAGCAGTCATGAAGCAGTCAGCCTGGTTCCAGAGACTACGTGTATTGTTCAAAGACCGCAACACACTGATCCCTGAGGTGGCCGCAGAGACCAGATGTGGCATAGCATTCAGCAATTTGTGTATGTGGATGCGTGTACGGGCATGTCTCCTGTTCTTGCCTCTCTTACCTAGCCATCATGCAGTATATGGGTGACTTGCCCAACAAGAGCAAGAATCGCATCTCCACAGAGCTAACCGATCAAATCTTCGAGAGTGCCTTGCAGCACGTAAGTTCACAGTGCTTCAGTGCTCTACCTGATTGTATCTTATCCGTGATGATGCAATATGCTGCATATGAAGAGCTGGATTGCAAACCCACTAAATCCATTTTATCGCTTTTCGTATAATGGCCAAAAGAGGTTTCATTTTATGTGCGGTCTGTATCTAAATCCATAGTTGGGTTCCAGTTTCGAAATGGGTCTAGTCAGCTTTGGAATGTGATTTTTGTTTGGTGGTTCTCCTAGACCTTTTGATTACACGGAGCTGAACATCTGATTTTCTCAAATTTAGCACTTGTCGGGTTTTGCATCTCAGCGTTAAGTATTGCCATTCTGTATGATGGAGTCAGTTGATATGATGGTGGAGCTGTGCTGTGACTGCAAACAAGTGGCTGTTCATCGTCGTGTATGTGCGTTGTTTGTGTGTTGATTGTGTGTTGTGCATTAGGATATACTGCGAGATGAGGTGTACTGTCAACTGATCAAGCAGCTAACGGACAATGGTTTACGTAGTAGCGAAGACCGTGGATGGGAGCTGCTCTGGCTAGCTACCGGACTGTTCTCATGCAGGTACGCTGAAGTATGTCTTTATCATACAAGTGGGGATCGCTATGCGATTGTCATCATTTTATATAGTGGATAACCCAGGGCATTGCCAAGCGTGACGATCAGCCTTGCCACTGTGGACCGAGCAATTCACTATGTGTACTCAAAGAATACAGAAGGTAGGAAAAGTAGACACTATTTCTCACACGGCCTATACTCAATCTTGTTTCGTACTCGGTACGAAACCATAGCAATTTCAAATCCTTAGACCAAGGTTGCGGTTTGAATAGAGAATGAATTTTCGACCACTTTGGAAGAAAAGTCCAAAATGGAGTTTGTGACTGTTATGTCTCATCTTTTCAATTGTCTTTTCTTGTCTTGTCTTGTCTTGTCTTGTCTTGCCTTGTCTTTTCTTTTCTTTTCTTTCAATTGTCTTTTCTTGTCTTGTCTTGTCTCGTCTTGTCTTGCCTTGTCTTGCCTTTTCTTGCCTTGTCTTTTCTTTTCCTTTCTTTTCTTTTCTTGCCTTGTCTTTTCTCGTCTTGTCTTGCCTTGCCTTTTCAATTGTCTTGTCTTAGCTCGTCAATGCTGAAGGAGGTACAGCACTTTCTAAAGTCGAAGAGTCGACACCCACTATCTGTCGACTGCCAGAATAGACTGCAGAGAACACTGAGGTGAGTGTTTCCAAGCAACTTTTCTGTATGTCTTTTCTGTATGCCTGTTCTGTGTGGCTTTGGCCAGGGAGTTGTAGCATACAGGGAGACGAAACTAGATCATAGTACCCTAAACAGTGCGCGTTTCGACCTTGGATTTGAAGTTCTACCTGACCTGTGGTCTATACAGCTGGTAATTACGGCTCAAGAGCAAGTGGTCAAAGACCGAAAATCCCATTCACTGCATCCATGTTTAACTTCCGCTTCGAAGCAGGGCTTGAACCTGAGGGCTTGAACCTGGTACACTGTTTCTCAATCATGGTCCTAGACCATCCCACTATGCCTGCACAAACAAGCAATGTCGTAATGCGGGCCTGTACAAATTACCTGAAGTACATGAAGTAACTCAGTGCATCCTTCTCAGAACCTGTCATGGTCAACCTTCAAGATGTAATGGTCGTTGTATTGTGACACTCAAAAGAATGATAGCGTTTGTTCTGATCTGTTTGTTCCTTTCACTAGATATGGCCAGCGCAAGTTCCCACCACATCTGGTAGAGTGTGAAGCAATCCAGGTGAGATAAACTTTTGATTCTACACTATGCAGTGTGATTAATTTTGTTGTAATGTAACGCGAACCGTGAAATTTTTAAAAAATTTAATGAGCAAGAACATAGAATGCAATGCTGTCAGTTTGTACTGCAAAAAACTTGAACATGGTACATCACATGTTAAATGCAATTCTTAAACTGCTTGCTTTGAATCTTTTAATACTGAGCCCCTACTTTGCCCCTCCCCAACCCCACTTTGACCAATTCGACCTGTCACTGAGGTGAAGCCGAGTATATCGCCAGCCCTCTAGGTAGGCATGTTGTAGGCCGGCCGCAGATTCTGGAGTTGAAAAATGTCACTAGGCTGAACTAAGTATGCTTCCACTGACATTCGAGAGTGTTCTGCAGTGAGCCTTCATGAATTTCCGTTCTGGTCTATGTCTTGATAATCACCTGCAGCACAAGACCACACAAATCTTCCACAAGGTCTATTTCCCTAATGAAACAGACAAGGTAGGTCACAATACATGTATATGTCTGTGTCGCACGGTCTTCCAGAGTGTGCATACCTGCACCTGCGCGAAATGTTCCTATTGTTCTCACACATGATTTTTGGCTGAGCACTACTATTTTGTACAGTGTACTCACTGTCAACTTCCACACTCACATCATGTCACCCCTTTCTCAATATGACATATTGTGCATTGTGCGGGTGTAGAGTATGACATGTACTAAACTTCCGTCCAGGTAGCTCCTTCCACCTTCCTAGGTCTGTAAAGTATCTTCTGCAAGTCATACACACCTGACAAGTCACACAATCTTGTCCTGGGTGTGGGACACATCATGGAGCAGAAGTTTGTTGAATGGAACAAGAATGAACAAAACAAGGATGAACTGGACAAGAATGAACGAAAAAGCGATCCCTTCGTTTCGACACAACATGCGTCCATCTGCCTTATCTATGCCTTTCGCCTTTGCAACCAATTCCTCTATTTTTTCTTTGCCATTTGCCATTCTTGCAGCCATTCCAAGTGGACTCCGGTACAAGAGCCAAAGAGTTCTGCTCAACGATCGCAACCCGTCTTGGCCTGAAGTCACCAGAGGGATTCAGCTTGTTCATTCGCATTGCTGAACGAGGTAGGAGAACGTCCTGAAGCATATCCAACTGTTGAAAGACAGTGTTGTAGCCTTCCTAGAATACACATGTCAGATGACGTGTGCCTGTTTTGTTTCTTACTGCTTGTGTTGCCACTTCCGTTTGAGTGTCAGTGCCTGTGCCAATGTGGAGTGTGTGCTTTGCGATGTAGTCGACTAACACGACTACACACCCATTTCACTACAAGTTACCAATGCACACGTGAATGCTATACAAACAGAAGGAGATCATGTGGTGTGTAAAGCGAGGTATAGACAAGGGCATGTAAGCAGTGCAAGAGTAGAGGCCACAGATTCCCTGGGTGTATAGATAGGTGCAGATAGGTGATGTGTACACTTTGAACTCTGATTGTCCTCAGCCAGTGTGGATTTCGGTGCATGCATGCATGGGCTGGAGACATTTAGCTATTATGCTGGAGGAACATCATATGCTATGCTTGATGTGCATGTGTGTGTATGTGTGTGCATGTGTGTGTATGTGTGCGTGCGTGCGGGTGCGCGGGTGTTCGTGTGTGTGTCCTTCTCTGCAGTTATCAGTGTTCCGGATGCTGACTTTTTCTTCGACTTTGTTCGTCACCTGACTGAGTGGGTGAAGAAGATGAATCCAAAATGTAAGAAACACGGCATCCGACAATAGCCATTTATTAACATGCTATGTAGCTGTGAACAATAGTTTCAACTCGTCCTTCTCTGGAGTGTACATGCGAACGTCAAAATCTATTTAATAGCTTTCATGTCAAGGGAAGTTAACGGGTCACCTACAGGAGAAATGGATTGTATGAAATCGAATACAAAGCTGTCAAGCAATGATGAGCAACCACCCATCGCAGGTATCTGAATGACTGCGTGTTCCCGCAGGATTGACATTCTAGGTCGACATCAGGGTCGCTTGAGTTCAGATCAAAATCATGTTATTCAATCACTCTGAAGCCCTCTGTATGTTGTTGTCTCCTCCTGCGCAGCACAATCAAACCCATCTTCACTCAATTACCAAGTACTGTACATGAGAAAGCTGTGGAGCACGGTCACGGTGGGCGCCGACTTGAACGCTGACAACATCTTCCACTTCCACCAGGAGCTGCCAAAGCACTTGCGTGGCTATCACAAGGCGAATCGCGAGGATGCGTCCTACGTGGCGGCTCTCATTTACCGCGTCAAATTCGCCGACGACAAGAGTCAGTTCGCCGAGATTCCGTGAGTACTTTAGCTGGCTCGTATCACTGTTTTGGTGCGGTTCAGCACTCTCCACTGCTTTGGGGAGGTTCTGCACTCTCCACTGTTTTAGTACGGTTCTGCACTCTCCACTGTTTTAGTACGGTTCTGCACTCTCCACTGTTTTAGTACGGTTCAGCACTCTCCACTGCTTGTGTCGGCGGCAGTGCAATCTACCATTGATTACACTGATGATGGGACGGGCCCGAAAATTTGGCGTAATGTAAATTTTATTTTTAATTTGAATCGCAGTGAAGCGACCGTTTTGGAGTTTGGAGTTGAGAAGTGAAGTTTCCTAAATGTGCAAGTGGCTGCGTTGGAGTTTGCGGACAATTAGAAAAGCGCAGTCTGCGACAATGAAACCGTCCACTGAATATACATGTAACATCCCTGTGGGGTTGATGGGCACTGCAAGTCTGGCACTGTGGGTGAGGCATACAGGGCTGTGGGTGTACTGGTCATTGTCGTATTCACAACGTCTGATATTCTCATTGTACTAGGTATGGATTTGGGATGTACACATGGGCGTCTTCACCTATCTGAGAAACAGTGCAGAACTCAATACAATATCTGAAGTAACATTCAATACTACCAAAAATCTGTATAACATTGCATTTTTCCAACATCTGAACATTGTTGATGTCTTGATGTTTTTGTTGGTTGTTACAGGGGCAAACTGAGAGATTACGTTCCACAAGATCTGATGCGAGCACAATCTCCAGATGCATGGAAGCGTGCCATTGTCACATGCTACAACAAACAAGCGTCGACTATCAAGGGTCCGCTTGAGGCTAAGATCGCCTTTCTCAAGTACGTCAGCCGCTGGGGGACGTTTGGCTCAGCGTTCTTCGATGTGAAGGTAAGAACTATCGTGTACTGCAGTCACCTTGCTAGGTCCTATAACCTGCAGCTAGGTGTATACTAAGTTTCAGCAGTGGATCCAGCAATCTCTACAGGGGGGTTCAGTGTAGTCAAAACCGTGCATAGCTGATACATGTACATGGACACACATATGGTTTCCTGTAGTACATTTACGAAATTTAGGGGAACCCCTCCTGGATCCGCCCCTGTATCTGACTTATCACTGTTTGCACACCACTAGTCTTTACAATTCTAGAACTGAGCTTGGGCAATCAGATATCCTAGTACAGCTGTATCATTCTTGTTGGGACGCCAACGAAAACTGGGGCCGGAAGACCTGTGTACTCAGTGACATCCCGCGACAAGAAGTATTACCTATGTGTTTCTGCTGCGAAGATTCTGAACGAAATCTTGAACCAAATGTGAAGCTGAAATTGAAGTAAACTGAACTGAAATCAGGTAGACTGGACTGAAATCTGAGCTTATGTACAGTAGAGAACTGAAAGATAAGCGAGTGGATTCACAACAGACAGAAGATGGTGGAGGTACGATAAAAGAAACCCAAGGACTGGAACTAGACGATGATCAAACAATTTTAGACTACGACCGGGATTATGTAGACAAACGAGCATTGCACATGCATCGCACAGTTAATGAGATTGCTGTCGCAATAGGTGCTGCTGTTGCTCCTCACCAATAGGAAGGCAATGTGCCGGGATGTCCGCTGTCTTGTGGAGCATCAATCTGACATGCGCTGTGTCCAGTGTGGATCGCCTCTACTTTGCTGCACGCATCGCTAAAATTGTAACAGTTTACTGTAAAAGCCATATATCTAACGAAGTGCTAATTCTAACGAGTTAACGAGGAGAAATCTGTCGTTAAATAGAAATCGATATACAGAAATCGATACAATCATCAGTCATGTACTGCTGATATTGAGCGTTGAGCATGAGTGAGAATCGTTACCTTTGGTACACGTAAACCAATCAATTTTAGGAAATCGTTAGATATGCGCCTCGTTAGAATAATGGCTTTTACAGGACTCTATTCTCTATCCAGAGTGCACCGACTCGCGGCTACGTGAACCATCCTACTGTAACAAAACCTGGGTCGTTTAGTACAAATATCAGATTTCACGTAGGTTTTGTGGGTTTGCTTTGAACCTTCCTGCATTTCACACTGTGTTTCTGCAGCAAACAACTGAACCAAAGTATCCAGACAGTCTGCTGATCGCTATCAACAAGAGTGGTGTCAATCTGATCAATCCCCAGACAAAGGTAAAGTAGGCCAGATAGAAGTAATAGACCGATTGCCATTTGTACAGATCCATGACGAAATCCCGTAGAATCCCGTAGACCCGGTAGGGTGTTGTATGTGCAGGACCCTAGTGTGTTGTATGTGCAGGACCCTATTGTGTTTTTTGCTATTTCCACTAAGAAATGGGCCCTGAAGGAATTTCATATGAAAACCTTTTTCTGACAAATATCTAGCTAGTCATTAGTTCTAACCACAGTGAAGAAGCTGGAAAAGCGATTGCTGTGGTCATTGAATTATGACGCTAAAAAGGTCAAATGTGCATGCATAGCACACAATGACCACCCTACCGGGTCTACGGGATTCTACAGGATTTCGTGGATCTGTACAAATGGCAATCGGTCTATTGAAACATTAGAGTAGTACAATAGTAGTCATGCATATCTGCACGTTGTCTACACCAGTCTAGAAAAACAAATCAAAGGTTTTCTGAACCTAACGTTTTCGTTCCCTTCTCATCATAGGTGATGATATCCTTCAATTCGCTTGCATATATTTTGCTGGTTAATTAATCATTTCACTTTATTCCCTGTATGAGCCCATGGCGAGAAGGGAACGGAAACGCTTGGTTCAGAAATTCTTCGATTTGTGAGACTGGTGTAGTCGAATGTGAACTAGGCTTAACATTCAGATAAATAGCATAGATGTCTGTATTTCGTGGCAAAAACATGGGGGTGCGGCTTATAATCCAGTGCGGCGTATAGTCCGGAGAATACGGTACTTTATGAATTAACACGCCCGCCAATTTGTTCTACAAATTGAAACTTTGTCCGGGTTTATGTTGGACAATAATGTGAATGATGTTGCAAGATAATGTAACACGTTGGTAGGCTGTGCAACCAATCTTGCATTTCAGATTGTGTCGATGCGCCTGTATTTCACCTGTGATAGCATTGCTGTGCCTGCCGCCTTGTTGTTTCAGGAGTTCCTGGCTACGCATCCGTTCACTAAGATCTCCAACTGGAGCAGCGGCAACACTTACTTCCACATGACCATCGGCAATCTGGTGCGCGGTAGCAAACTCTTGTGCGAGACTACACTGGTGAGGAAATAGAGCAGTGCTGTTGAGTTAAATGACTAAGTCTGTCCAAGTTGTGCCCTCTACTTGGATATCACTTGAATTTGAATCCTTACAGCAGTTTCATTTCCTTTTAGAAATGAAACTGCTGATTCACATTCAGATGACGTCGCTAGTTATGTGGATCCAGTGCATGCATGGTGTGTGCTCGCACGGGAGTGTGCAGCGACTGCCCGCTCAATACTGTGCTTTTCTTTTCCGTGCACATTGTTGCCCAGGGTTACAAAATGGATGACCTACTGACATCGTACATTTCTCAGCTGCTAACCAGCATGAGCAAGCAGAAGCATGACCAACCGACCAAGACAGCACAGCCGGCCAAGGCATCCCAGGCGGCCAAACCCGCTTCCGTCGCGCGGGCGAGCGGGGCAAGCGCATCGCCGAGATCGCCCAGCAAGCAGGCGGCATCCTCATCACCGGTCTCGTCCGTACCGTCGCGCTTGAAGATACAAGTGCAAGGTGGAGGTGGTGTGTCACCTGGCTCCTCACCTGGACGACCACGCTCCAACTCTAGAAATGCCGGAAGGCCCAGTAAGAGATAAAAACACTTGCGGAAGTGACGTCGGCGCTGTGAGCTATCACTAACCTCTTTTGTACATGGATGTCTATTTAACCCTAGCACTTCCTAGTCTTATCAACAAATTTACCAGAAGTCTATATATAGTATATACTGTTTGTCTTCCCACTGTGCTTGAGGGATGGATATTGTAATATTATTATACATTTCGCATTTTCTATCGCTTTTACCGCATGCTAGGAGAAAGAGGATATGATCTAATCTAATATTTTAGCACAGCTCGCAGAAAATGCTTATCAAATTTTGTCTGCATTCACGTTTTTATTTTTCACGGGCAGACAAAAAAGGATTAGATTCAATTCATGCTAAGAATATCCCCCCATGTTAATAATTCTAATTGTGTTTTCTATCCTGCAATTGCAGATTGTCAGCGCCTCAAACTTTTCTAGTTCATTTCTAAAATTATGCGCCGGTAGATACTGTACTGATGATGCTTGTGTGTGTGTGTGTGAATGAGTGTGTGTGTGTGTGTGTGTGTGTGCGCGCGCGCGCGCGCCTGCATGTGTGCGTGTGCGTGTGTGCGTGTGCATGTGGCGTGTGCATGTGTGCGTGTGCATGTGTGCGTTAGTATCACCGGTGTCTTGATCAAGCTACACATACAGTCATGTACTTCTAAAAGAGGTTCCAGGCTGTCCAATAGAGTGCCCAATACTGAAACTTGCAGAGCTAGTTCTAACAATAATAAGAGAATGAAAAAAGTGCTAACTCCGAGTTTCTAGTACTTTCTAGTTTCTAGTTTCAGTACAGTCAGACCTCGCTTAACCGCACACATCCGTTTTCCACAAAATATCCGGATAGGCGAGGGAACCGGATAACCGAACACCGGTTATGTTGGTTGCAATGCGTATGTTGTAAATCTGTAACCAGTTATTTTCTTCCGGATGCCGAGGGATCCGGATAAAGGAGGTCTGACTATATTTCTTATCAGCCTACGACTATAGACCAAGGATTAGGCGGTGATTTGCTACATTACAGGTTACCTGCCTACAAATACCCTCGCACTGCCACAGTACATGTATACAGTAACCATCTCATCATGTACGAAATGTGACACTCTCTGCATGAGGAAACAGCATCACCCCCATCCCATGGATGGGGCCTCGAAGTTTAGAAAATTGCGTTTTTCATGCTTTTAATGTAGTGCCATTAACTTTTTTTAATTCATGGTTCACGTGAGACTCGGCTAGAAGCCGAGTTTTCCGCATCCGCAGGAATGCCACCACCCTCTTGGATCAAGGCGCAGATGCAGCTCCTAAAGCGGTGGGAGGTGAGTAGATCAGACCCACCACAAAGTTGTCAAAGACCGAAAATCCCATTCACTGCATCCATGAGAGTGCCATAAGTACAACAAAAATGCATAAGTACCCCCCCCCCCCCCCCTCTCCCCCAGGAATATCATTTTCATTGTCCATGCATGCTAGAGAACAACTTAGAACAGAGAAAACAGCACTTCTTCTGTAAAATAGAAGAAAAACACATGGGTACGAGTTATGAAGCAACTATCCACGACTATAACAAGATAATAAGTACCGTATTTTCCGGAGTATAGTGCGCACTTTAGATGTGCTATTTTAGGCCCTAAATCGCAGGTGCGCACTATGCTCCGAATATGAAATGCATGTACTTCAATGAAGATTGAAGTGTGCACCCCCAATGAAGATTGGGGGTGCGCGTTATACAAAGGTGCGCACTATACTCCGAAAAATACGGT